TATTATTTTTCATATATAATTTGTCATATTATTTGTCTTATATTATTTGTCTTATTATATTTTATAATCTTAAAAACATAGGTAAGACACATCTGGAGTGCTGTCCAGTTCTGGTCTCCTCAGTACAAGAGAGACATGGATGTACCAGAGCTAGTCCCATGAAGGGCCACAAAGATGGAGGTTTTATCACCTTTCATATGAGGAGAGACTGTAGAAAAATGAGAGACTGAGCAGTGCCACTTGCTGCTCCCTGGGGAAAGTACGTTTCCTCCATGACTCACTGCTAGATTATAATACTTCCTGAATTCATAGAGTAACTTCTTGACCCAGCAACTGCAATGATTCAGTTACATCATATTATACAGCAGGAGGCTATATTGTACTACCCCTTTTTATGTGACATGGTTTTAAGATATCAACAGGATATGAAGTTCCAACACTTGCAGTATTTTCCAGTGTAAAACAGCTTCTATAGTAGATTGTCGTTGTTTTCTCAAGACAAATTGCAATAGCAATTCTGGATTTGTTGAACAGATTTTCATCTGAAATCCTAACTATCCTAAGGAGGAATAGCAAATTAATGCTTTTGTATTTCCAGGTCTCTGACTGTTGTACTGCTTTCAATCATTAGTCTTTGTTAACAGAAAGGTACAGTTCACATCAGTTTAAAAATTTACAGGAAAAAATTGCGATGAGGCAGGCTGATTCATATTGTGTTGCTTTGGTTATAGAACTTTTATTACCGAGTTAAGATCTTCCTAAAAAGTATGATAATCCATCAATGCCTTCAGTGGAATACAAAAAGTAATTAAACCTTGGAAGTCCGTGAAAATATCTGTACAATAAGTTAATCTTCCTGTTTAATAGTTGAGGAGGTTATATCAAAAAGGTAGTCTGCTCTAGGTGTGCCTGCTTGAGCAGAGGGGTTGGACCAGATGACCTCCAGAGGTCCCTTCAGTCCTCAGCCTTTCTGGGATTCTACGATTGATTTTGTTAGTTTCATAATGTCCCAAGAAGTTGAAAGACTAAACTGGAGTGGTATTCCAGTCTTGAAGAATCTAATACACAGCAAGATTAAAATTAGATAAGACAATTTGTAATATGATATTTAGTGGTTGCTATACCTCTTAATATTTACTTATCGTGTAACACAGAAGTTCTTTTACCATACCCCAAAGGAAAAACACTTGAATATGACTTGCTAAAATTGACCTTTACTTACACATAGTGACTTTTACATGGCAGTATTATGATAAACTGACTCTAGCTTCAGATTTATTACTCAACCCTGACCTTTGGTTATATTAGAATATTGCTTTCAACCAGACTAAATAATAATGTCTTTATGAATGTAAGGAACTGGCAGATCCGAGATGTCAATTGCCAGCTCAATTTTCCTTTCACCTGGGAGTACAGCATGTCATAGTGTTTTATTGATCTGAGAGCCATTAGAGTTCAGTGTTATAATTCTTCAGTTTTCCACGCAGTGCAGTATACTGCACAGTAAAAGAGATGAAGCGTGAACTGGAGCATGACTTCAGTTACGAATGGCCACAATTTGGAATGTCTGTTTCACCAGAAATAAATGTAATTATCTTGAAATTATTTTTCTTCCTAAATTGAGACTTTTAGTCAATTTTGTTAGAAAAGGTATTAAAGAATCTTCCCCAAAGTATCATTGTACCATATTTTTAATATATTCTGGAAACAAACTGTTTTTGAGATTTAAGTGCTTAATTTTGTTGTTATTAGAATGCTTAAAACAATTGCACTGTAGATCTACATTATGTTCCTTTTGAGTACAGTATAGTGAAATGTTTTGATTTCATGATAGGGTGTAATATTCAAAATGAAAGATGTCATATTAATGCAAAGAAACTTTTTGAGAACTTTTAAAAATAAATATCAGTGATGCTAATATATTTTGCTGATATGTTTTGATTAAAAAAAAAAATCAGTATCCACTGATACAAATGGTTTGAGTAGTCAGAAAGTTTTCAATCAGCTGTAGGTTAGAGGATAATAATGAATAAACACACCTGCTTGTCACTTCTGGTCATCAAACGTAAGAAGAATGATTCCAGTATAAGAATGTCTTTCAAAGTGATGCAGCAGCTTTGTGTGCAATTGCTTTTCAGATAGTGACGGAAATCAGTGGGATTTTTATTTTAGAAGAGACTAAGATTATAATCCTGTTGAAAATTACATTATTAAGATAATAATGAATTCACTTCTACATAAAGATTAAAGAGTTAGACTTGCTGTTATTGGTGTTGGTGCCAGGGTTATTCTGCATACTTGCCTCCTAGGAATTTTATCTGTGTTCATAAACTCATTAGTTGTTATTGAGTCTTAAAACAGCTATATCGTATGGTACAGTGCTGCTATATGGATGAAGAGCAGAGCAGAATATTTTTCCTTTCTAAGAGGTTCTGTATCTTTTCTATTGTAATGTTTTAATGGTTAATTTTCAGATTAAGCTATGTTGTCTCTATCCAAGTTATTTTAATGTATTACTGTTGACTGGAAATATAGTTAGTAAATGGGTAGGTATCCATAATATAGATATTTTAATGAGATGTTTTCTGGAAAACACGTTGAATTTTTTATTCTTCCTGTGACATTTAGTTAGTAGTAGAAAAAGAAATAAGAATTAGTATAGTACTAGTAGCTAGATTAGCTTTGTGCAGCTCTGAGGTTTAGTATTTCTTTTAATCTAAATACGTGTTGATATTTTAAAAACATTTTTAGACATTTAAAATTCCTAAATTTTAGGCACTTAACTATTTTAAGAGTACACTTTCTTTTTGTACTCATGATGAATAGAAATGTACGTTAAAACCTATCAGATCAGCCTAATAACGGAGGTGATAAGTGAAATAAAAACCATAAATATTGTCTTGCAAATAGCAATGTCTTCAAAATTCCCATTTGTACAATCTATTTTTGTGTCTATTATACTTGAAGATGTACATAAGTACTGCAAGTAATGTTTTACGCTTGCAAAGGTCATCTTTAAAACTCTCTGCTAGCCATTCCAGCATCTCGAGGTAGCTTCTTCAATCAATTTTCTTTAAAATCAGAACTGTTTGCAACAGATACAGGATTTCACTAGTTTGTTGGAGGCAACAAAGTTACCTATAAAATGTTCATGTTAAAGCAGAGGTGCTTTCTGCAAACAAATTCACTATATGACACTTAACAAGCAGCCATCTGTCAGCAAAAGGCTTATAGAAAAAAATCTCACCAACACTATTGCTGATTTAATTTGAATGATTGATCTGATGAAGCCAATACAGCAGAAGCAGTTCTTTACTGCAAGCACTCTAAACTTAATCTCACTTAAGGGAGTAGGGGAGGACGGGGGATAGAAAGCGGGAAAAAAATTGAATTTTTTTTCCATTTTCAGCTTTTTAGAAGACTCTGCATCTTATTTTACAAAACAAATACTTGTTCCTACTGTGCTGCAGGAAATAAAAACACAACTTCTCTCTAGAAATTACTGCTTAGCTTATTGCTATTTTATGAGCATTTCTTCCCCCGACTGAGAACATAGTTTAATTGCTCAATAAACTTGCAAGGTTTTAAGACGAAAAATCTACAGTAAAATTAAATGAGATTTAAAAAATGTATGCTAAACAATGTGTCAGTTCATTACTCTAGTTCTTGCGTCTTTGAGTGCTGAGAATTAGAGGGTCAGGTTCGTTAAAACTTATACTGACGTCAGATAAAGTTGAGGCAGCATTTTTACCTCACAGAAGATACTCAAATTTAGCAAAAATTATCAAAAATGTTGTGGAACTGATCGCTTCTGGGGATGTGAGCTCTTGATAAAAAGAAAAATACATGGGTTTTATAAGGCATTGTGATATTAGATGTAAATTGTTAATCATTCCACAGTCCTGGACAGGATTAAAACATATTGACAAGAGAAATATTGTGACCAGTTTTACAAACATTTGCTTTCTTATATATTTCATTGCCTGTTAAACATTTCATCTTGCATCACTAGAGTCTACAAGCACTTTCTTCTAATGCTAAAACCAAATGGACTTCATTATAATGAAAATAGCATACTTTATTATTTTTTGTTTTGCCATTAACCTTTGTAGCTTTCAATCTGTTAGTTGTCTTTGCCCTGCAGGTTGGAAAAGAAAGAATTCCATACTGATTGAGTAACAAGATAGACTCACCTATATTGAGTAACAAGATAGACTCACTGTCCCTGGCCTCATCTCTAACTACAGGGTCAGGACTTTCAGGTTTTAACACTGAGTCTTAGGCATACTTTTTGTAAGAGGAGTGTAAATCTTTATAAGAATATGCATAGCAGAATCACTTAATCTATCACAGTTCTCATGATCAATTATTAAGTTTAGATTCCATTTTGTTAGCACAGGGAAATTAATGGCCCAGTGTTGCAGCTCCTTAGCACAGAAGGTCTGTGGACTTGAATGGGAGTTCTCAAATTGAAGCTGAAAGATGAAAGTTTTCATTTTGGAGTGATCCTGATGCATTTTCTCCTAGGAAATCTTTCATTTTCTTATATGAAGAAGTTGTAGTTATTTATTTTTTCTAGCTACTTGAAGAGTCTTCAGGGGAAAAAAAATATTCCTTGTTTTGTTCTTAAATCTGGTACTTTTCATTAAAAACAGTCCTAATACCAGGACACATTACAAATATAGTATCATGTGAACATTTATGTTCTCTGCTTTGTTCTCTCTTAGATCCAAGGTTTTTATGTGTGTAACCTGTATATTCTCACCACAAGAGTAGTTGTTGCCAATAGTTTGTATGATTGACCATGCGTGTACTTTTCTTACCTTATGTTGCAACCAACAATATGTCTGTGTTGTAAAAAACTGGCTGTTTTTTGGGATGGATCTCCTACCCTTTCACCTGACAGTCAGGTTCCCTTTAACCAGCCCTAAAACATAATTCCAACTAGACCAAGGCAGAGCAATAACCCAAAGCTTTCTTCCTTTTTCTTTCTCCTCCAGGTTCTCCCTGATGATTGGCTGGCTCACTGCAGACAGCCTGAGAAGTTAAGAAATGTACTTTTGATCTTTTTGTAACATCAGTGAAATGGAATTAGCGGGAATAGTTTTAACTTCACAATTTGCTGGAAGACAAAGGTATGATCAAGCAGTGTAGGTCACACCTGGATGGATCTGGTTATGGGAGGACAGCCAACTGCCAAATTTCAAGGAGCATGTGCTGGCAGACTTGCAAACCTTGTGTCAGCTAACAAGCTGACTGAAAGCTATGATGATGTTTTTGCTTTGAGGCAATGAAAGACTCCTTCAGATCTATGCAGGCCAAATCCTTTCACTCTTTACTTAACAGCTGTTAGTTGGATCAAGAGCCTTTCCTAGCTCTCAATAATCTGTTCTACAAGAAGATGCAGTCTATGACTGCTGAAGTTGTAGACAGCTGTTGAATATCACTTCGTTTTCCATTTTATCTGACCTCAAGTGGGTCAAATATGTATTAGTGTGATTGTACTGCATGTACCTGGGTGGATATGTATACCTTCCTACACAGAACTTTTCTGAAGAAATTCTCTGTGATTCGTTGAATGAATTTGTCTTCTGTTTCATTAATGAGAATTTCTGTATCAAGTATTTTCGAAATAATCTTTGAATAGCTCATCATTCTACCAAGGACACTCTTTCACCTGCTTTTAAGCATTTTAATTTTTTAACCTGGAAAGCTTCACTGCAAAAGGTCAAAGCTGTGAGGAACCTAAGGCATTCTGGGAATTAACGTCTTCCATTCTGATAACGTTATAAAAGTAATGCACTTATCCTTTTTGGAGTAACATTGCAAATTTTGAAATTAATTGACTGATTTTCCCACTGGGTCATTTTAGGAAACAGACTCAGTGCTCAGTCTTGAAGCACTTTTTCCTGCTTTTTAGCACATAAATTATAATGATGTACTTTAGTATTTTTTTTGCATTTTAGGAAACAACAACCACCAATTGGAAGGAGCCCTGCTGCTCTTCAGGACATGCGGGAATTAGCAGACAGAAGTGGAAGAAACTTTTTTGTTTTCCTCTGACAGGACAACTAGACTGAAGCAGGGAAAGTATGGAAGAGGTATCTATCTTTATCCCAGAGCACTAAGGGAGATGACTCTTTATTCTTGGTGGTTTTGCTTTCTGTAATTAGAATATATTTCTCAGTCTGGATGCTTTCAAGTTGTAAGTGGCTTGGGATACACATAGCAAATTATTATGCTGCTGGTCTATATGAGAAGCTTTATGAGCCATTCTATATCCTGATTTGTTAAAGGAAAATAAAACAGCATGAAAAAAAAGGAGCTGAAAGGTACAAAAAACATTGTTGCTTTGTTTTTCCTATTTATGAAGCACTGAACTGTAGGTTATTCTAATGATATCTTGTATTAATTTTAACAAACTTGAAAATCTTGCTGACTAGTCTAACATATAGCTGCTTTTTCATTCTCAATTTCTCATCAGCCTTTAGCTTTCTGCTAGAGGCACCACATTTGTTATGTTAGTGTAAATAGCTAATTACAAGCAGTGATGAAATGAAACTCCACCACTGATAAAGCTGAGAGGCTTTTAAAAGCTTCATCCCACTCAGTTAAAAATAAAAGAATTGATTTAAATTAAAATACATGGATTGTGATCATACCGGGTTTATTAACACAAAACCCATTTTGGAGCTGCTTTCTAAATAGCTCCAATTTTGTTAGAAAATACTGTTTCCTAAAACTAGCATTTTCTGGTTCTTGCTTTATACTTACACACAAACAGTGGAATTTGTCTTCCAAAACTACCCAAGGGATTTGAAAAAAAAAAAATATATATATATATATATATATATATATAAATGCCTCTTCTCACAGATTGTTCTTTAACTAAAGGTTAAACTGTATAGCAGTTGAAACTCTGGTGATCCTGAGTTGTCTGTTGGAGGTGATCTTTAGCCTTTTGTAAGCAGAACTTCATTTTGCAAAGGCACAGGGGACGTTATAGAGTAGATAGGGTATGATGCCTGATGTGTTGTATTGGAGAGCTGAAGAAGACAATACTTACTACTGTGGGAACAGGGCACAGCAAGTTTCTCCTCTTCAGCTAAGTTTAGGAAATGGAAAATCACTAGTGGTTTATGTGGATCCTTAACCAGCAATTGCATTGACTGCTGCTACTACGTTTGCTTATGCCTAGCCTGAGTATAATTTACATATGGCCTGTAAAGCTCTTAATGCTTTCTTTGGTCATTTTTTCATATTTCATTATCCTGTGTGAAATTCATTCTGGGAGTAGAGGATCACATGAGAGTCAATGAGGTTGTCAAATTAAAACCTAAATGGGATGTGGATTAGGTGCTGGCCCTTCTCCAAAGACGAATTTTACCTTTTTCTGCACAAATTTCTGACTTTTCTTCCTTTGCGAGAGACCTCCTTTTTCTCTTCATCTCACCTTGATTTTTTTTTAGAAATTTATATATATATCTATATATCTGTATAGATATAGATATAAATGTTTTATTAAGGAGTGTGACAAGAATACTGACAAGAAAGTAATGTCTGTTATTTTTTATATCTTAGTGAGTTTGGTTAGGAAAAAAAGAAAAATAAGGAAATATACTGGCACTTCATAATACCTATTTGTAAATAATATCCTCTTTTTTTTTTTTTTTTTTTTTTTTTTTTTTTTGTGCTGTGCCCATATCAGCATATGCCCTAGTGGAAGGTTACAAAAAATGCATATTGCAACCACAGGTATTTGCTACTATCCTGGCCTTCCTATGATTATTGATGAAAATAAGGGTAGTACCCTCTCTCAAATCTGCAGAAGTTAATATATTCTGCAGTAATGATTTTCTAAACATCAGGTTATAGAATTTGCTTTTAAAACCTGTTTAGCAATGTGTCATCAATAGCTGTGTTTTATAAGTGAATTCATTTGCTGTTTTCTCAACTAGCATTGTCACTTTTACAGATTTTTCAAACAAAGTTTGTAACCCAATATTTATGCAGACAGTAATTCAATTTTCTGTGTACTTCATGAAGGTCACATTTTCAAGGAGAGTCTAGGCAATTCAGGGATAAAATTCTGACACACATAAGAGCACAGGCTATCTTTATGACATTGTTTTGACAGAAGCAGAAATCAAGTATATTGGACGGAAGGGAAATTGTTGGGCTAAAGAAAAAATACTTTATTTGTGTGAAGGAAAGAGGAAAAGCAGTAAGCAGGCACAGTTTTCCTGGGATATTAAAAATAGTCCAGTGTTAGAACTATGTAAGCAAATGTCTACTGCAAGATGGGAATTGGAGGCATATGGCAAAGCTGTTGAATATCTTATTGCAGGAGTTGTAAACTGATTTCAATCTAGGTCAGTCACTCAGAAATCCCTCTTTAGAAATACTCTGCATATGGGCCAAATGTAACATTTTATTTTTGTTTGGTTTAAAATTAAATGGAAGAATTGTCTTGCATTTTTAAAGGACCTTTAAGAGGCAGAAAACATAAATGAAGTGCTTTATAGCAAGCTAAATAAATGAAAGTAGAACAGTGTTGTTTTCCGATTTCTTTTTTATGCTACAGCTTCGAAGTGCAGTTAACTGTACATTACACTGTTATAAATATGCTTCAACTGAAGAGGTGTTCAATTGGCTGTTAACACTTTAAATTAATCAATGTGTACCTCACAGTCAGCTGAAGCTCATTTTCGTGACTGTGAAGTGCCATCTTCATCTTCCTCTAGCACAACATATATACATGCTTTCCTCTGCAATATCTTTATAATAGCTCTAAAGTGATCTCCAGGGAGCATACTTGTCATGAGATAATTACTGTCCTGTACTATATGAAACTCTTGGCTGCTCTTCATGCTTCAGGATATCCCAGGAGAATAATCACTGTACCACAATGTCTTTTCTATTGTGATTTAATATCTCCTTGCAGTGATTGACAAATCAGTCAAGATAAATTCATTTTATCTTGTACCAGTAGTTTCCCAGCACAATTTAAAGTGGTAATGCTGCTCAGAAGAGTACAATCACCTTTCTTTCTGACATTACACTTCATCTACCTACATTTAAAATGCTGTGATACGTGACACCTGGCAAGCTCTTTCTTCTCAACCTCTTTCTATAATCAAACTTATGATTTCACTGAATGTTCCCCACCTGAAAATACACAAAGCATAGCTGCTGTTACAGTCTTTAGATCTTAATATACAGAGATGGCATTTAAATGCACAGCTGGAGAAGGAGCTGGCACTTGGGCAATTCACAGTATGGGTCCCATTGGGTTGCAGCTGCCAGGTCAGGTAGGCTTGTGCAAAGCTGATCCAGATCCCCAAATACAGGAACAAGTAAACCAGGAGGAACTGTGCAGGCTGACTTCACTGACCAGTGAAGAGAGTGGGTAATGTTGAGGAGACTCATGTGATTGTATTTCCTGGGAGAAATGTTCTGGTTTTCCTGGGCTGTCCAAGCAGTGGGATTTGCACCATGGTCAGACAAAAATTTGGGTATATGTCCTCTGCGGCTAAAACTGTTGGCAGCATGCCTCTCTCACTGAGCTTCAGGGCTGCACAGTGCAGCTTTTCACCTTGCTCCCCTCCCAGCCTCTGTGGCACTTAACTGCTGGAGCAGCCCCTTCCTTCGTGGGTACACACCCCACATCGCTTGGTAAGATACACTGACCTTCGGCAGGAAAAAGACCTGGTCATGGTATTTTGAAAGGAAAAGGGAACCAAGTCAGAAACAGATCTGAATGTGTTTTTTAATTGTCATATGAGGGATGACTGCTTCTTAAAGATAGGAGTTTGTGTGTGAATGCTTTTGTGATTGTACCTGCTTTTTTTTTATCCTTTTTTTTTTTTTTTTTTTTTAGTGCCTAAGTAAAGATGCAAGGAAGCATATGGAAGAAGGCTGGCAACCATTTAAATAATTGTATGATTTATTATGAGAGGAAAAGTAAAGTTTTATGTGAGAATTTCTGATTTGTCTTTCTCCAACTAAAAGGCAGAAAAGAGACAATATAACGATGATTCGTGATGCAGTTTATGATTTGCCTTTAAGATATTTATGAAACTATTATCTTTATTTCCCCTTTTTCTTCTCATATAATTTGATTTGTGGGAAAATTAATAGAAGAAATTACATACACAAAAGCTTAGCCCATAACTGCTGCATACTCAAATTGATAAATGCGAACCATACTCAGTGTGATATTTAACAGAAATGAAAATATGATGGTACTAAAGTTATATCTCTTTTTTTTTCTCTTCATTGCCTCTGCTATTAAATGAAAGGAAATCTGAATATTACGCATCTTGACAATGGACTCTTACATAGTGAAACAGCATTTAGCATTATTAAAATGTGAGTTATTTTTGCAATTGCAATTTTTTTCAACATTAAAACAGTGATTGATGTACATAATTTTCAGCTGATAAGTCACAGAAAATACAGTAACAGTAAATTTCTTAAAGCAATTAAGTTGTCTTTTGTTAACATTGAAATTACAGCCGAGGAATATTTATTAGGTTAATGCATGTATTTGTTGCATATATAATTGAGATTAAGGTAGAAATTAATCTAAACTGAATCAAAATGTATTTTTTTTTTACAGATAATATGCTCCTAATAATATGTCTGTTTTCTTGGACAGACAACAAGCAGCTGTGTTTCCTTGATGCAGAAGTGGAAACAAACAGCCAGAAAATTCAGCACAGAAATGAAGCTTTAAAAACAGAGGAAAGCCAGTCCAGCGCTTCTTTCTTTTGTACTGTGATGTTGTGGTTGCTCTGTTTTCCATGAATAAAATGTGAATAAGAACTTTTTCCTAGTGTACACTATGTTGATCTTTATATGTTGTAAGATCGTGAAGAAAGATCTAAGATGCTATGGTAACTCTGGTTTTAAGAGCCTAAGAAATCACTGAAAACACTTTTAGATTTGAATGAAACAAACCCTTCCTTAATCTTTAGCTAAAAGTATGTTGTTTTGTTTGTTTGTTTGTTTTTTGTTGTTTGTTTGTTTGTTTTTTCCATGAATAGGATCTATATTACCAAATATTGCCATACTATACATGGTCCACAGATCTCTGTATACCAAGCCATAAAGTGTTTTAAACAAAACAATAGAGCCTGTGCACAAAAACAGAAATGTGGTTGTCATCAGGTGCTTACAATACATATAAAATTATCTCTTTAGAATAAAATTTACCCATCTGCAGAAGAATGTGATGACTGCAGCCCATAATATAAGCATATTTCCCAAAATATGTTAGAGGCGTTATTTTCATCCAGCATTGTTGTCAGCAACAGAGTAATAGAATAATTTTTATTTTTGGTTTATGTCCAGAAGCCACATGCAGAAACATTAATTTATGTCCATCAAGTATTTTTCTCACTGTCAGCATTATGTCTGAAAAACACCACAGTGAAATTAGAAGAAAAAGAAGTCAGTCAACCATTTTTCATTATGTCCTTGCTATGAGTGAAGCTGTGTGTGCTGCAGAACATTATGCACTGCTGTCACTGCAGATTCTTCCAGGCTCCCACCTGACCCAGAGGCTGCAGCTCTGGACTAAAGCTCACAGACCTTCGGAGGGCATAGAGACTGCCCAACAGTGTCTCATACACTAGTTCCTAAGAGGACTGTAATGACACTTTTTCTACCCTTCTAAACTTTGAGAAGTTCAGAGCAGAGGAAGAGTGGATGAAAATGAGGGCAGTTACTCCCTTTTCCAGATGTTTTGTTTTTAATCAAGTCACATAGAAGAAAGGCAATAGGGAGAAATAAGAAAGGCTTTTTGCTTGTAGAGACCACAAAAATCTAAAGAAAAGCCTGGAAGAAACATTTGCATAAAACAAAGACAAGTTCAGGTAGGTTTGTGCAGGTGAAATAGTGCTATGGTGACATGCAGTAGCTCAGATAAAGGTGTCTTCCCAGATCACTTTAAAAGACAGACCTGTAGCAGGCCTTCCCATTGTCAAGAAAACACTTGCCTTACTTCAGTAGCGAATGTTCCATAGTTGGTACATTTTAAAGAAAAAAATTATTATGTGTGAAGACTGAATACACAGTATGTTGGACAAAATATATAATGAGCATCTCAGAAATTTTCATTATTTAAGAATGTCAGTATTACTGTCATAATCAATATCTCTTTATAGGTTATAAAATAGAGGCCTCTTGTACTTTTGGGACATCAGAATTCTTGGATTCCTATTATTAGAAGCCCAGTGAAGCATCAGATTCCAAAATATTTCTCTAACACAAAGGTAAATGTTGCTTGTTTAGGAATAAATCTTGGAGGGAAAATGTCATGTATGAAAGCAGTTAAAGTATATTTTCTTCTAAACCCTGTAGTTTTTTGAAGCTATTCAGATGTTATGTGATGATTTGTAAACTTTTCTAAGTTTTCTTAGAACACTTTCTAAAGAGTTTTTAAGCAAATAACAAGTCTGTTGTGTGGATACACACGAATGTTTGTTCTAGATAAATAGCATCACTGAAGACCTGCCAAGTGGATTTCTGGATCTCCAAATAGTAACATTTCACCCATGCATGCCATAACTAGTGTTTCACCCATTCACTGACTTTTAGCATGAAGACAAACAGAATTGAAGGGAAGGAAATACTGTGCTTTTCTGGGACTTCTGGTTTCTGTGATTTATTCCAAAAAATTCCAAAAGAATTTCCCTGGATAAAGTCAGACCCACAGGAGTTTTGCCGTTGTTCAATGGAATCAAACTTCTCACCAAACCATTGCCTGTAGTTCAATTATGTGGTGTCAGCAGCAGAAAAATAAAACAAAACAAACAAACAGCCTTTTCTTTTACATATGACTTGCTGAATCTTTGCTTTTCTGTAAAATAAGAGAAATATGCACACTTGAGCATCCAGCTGTTACTTTTGGCAAGCCTCCAGTATCACAGGTTATAGCATCCCAGGGTTACAAATTAACACCATCATACTGGGAAAGCGTTTTTTGTTTTGATTTGTTTTTGTTTTTTCATTCCAAGCTTCTGCAACTGTAGTGCAGCACTAAATTTTGTGTTTGTTCTCTTGTGGATGGCAGGACTGACCTTCAACCAAATATTTAAGCTGCACAGAGCCTGATGTGCACCACGCTGCATGATTCAATGGGAAGGAAGCATACCTCTATAGGAGGTCATCAAGAACCAAAGATAAAGCAGCACTCTGAGAGGAACAACAGCAGGACATTGTTCAAAATATTATCAAAGAAAGAAAACTGTTTTCTTAAAGGGCAGCACTCTCCTTTGCTGAGATAGTCTATTTGCATTGCAACACTTTTAGAATGTGTGTGGTTTACAATAGGATGTCATGTTACTTGGATAAAATGCTATGCACAAGAAGAGTTCTTATAATCTATTGTATGTTTTTAGGACTTGCCTGAATACCTGCCTGCCACAGTGAAGAATCCAAGCAGTTTAAAGAGAGAAAGTTCTCCAGCATCCTCACCTAAATAAAAAGTATCCCTTCAAAGAGATGGACACAGATAAGTATGAGAAGTATTTGTTGGAACTTGGACTACAGATGTTGTTTAGAATAGATGTGGTAACAGCACATTACAGAAAATACTTATTTTCAGCCTCTTTTTCATGAGAATGTATACCTGAAGGGAGCATTTAGGCTCTTGTTTGTAAAGGTCAGCAGCAAAATTTTAAAAGAAAGATACAAGACCTATATTTTTCTGTAAAACTTTGTGATTTATGGTAGAATAGCAGTGCTTTTACTAAGTTCCATTCAGTCTCCCTGAATTCCTCAAGTCCTACTTGAGCAAGTATATAAGTTAAATAATGTATTTCATAACAAACATCTAGCATGTGTTCATCTTCCTTTCGTGCTTCTCATGCAATTATACGCAACTTGAGATACATGTAGTCTGCCTTTGCTATATCAAAGTCTTCTGCTTTAATATTGCAGCAGTTACTTCAGATAAATACCAATATTTTTGAACAAAGACATGAGTGACAAAGAGGACGGTAGAATTCACAGGAGCAGCACAACCTTCCTCATGGTCAGTGACCGGGCACACTCCCTCTGGCTTTGCATTAGCACAAGTCCATGTGCCTAGGAAAGTAGCTGGTGGGCAGGATAATTGCACCTGTTTTAATTAGATCTTTAGGCAACTGTCAATTCCAGAAGTCTGCTCCCTTGAAAGTAAGGGAATATGTTTCTTTTCCCTATAGTTAATGAGTCACATGGTCTGAACTTGGGTAGACCTGTGCGGTGTCAAGAGTTGGACTTGATGATCCTTAAGGGTCCCTTCCAACTCAGGATATTCTATGATTCTATGATCCTATATAGTTCTATATTTGTTTCTATATTGTTCTATATTTGTTATAGTTCTATACCTGTTAAATGTTCTAAGGACTTTAGAGGTAACAACGTTATGTTGTGTATTATTTTTTTCTTTTTTTTTTTTGGTGAAGCTACACAGATCTCTCATATATGCTTACATACACATAAATATTTATACACGTATGCACATACTCATACACAAGTGAAATCAAATTTATAATATATTTTAAGTGTAGGTAATGCTATTAATATTAAAAAAAATCATAAAACTTCTAAAATAGTACATTTTGATACTCATACACACACTGTACATTACACTGTATATACACATTTGGATACAGAACAACATTGCAGTGTTTTTTAAATAAGAGTTGCATGCGCTATGATTATAGCACTCAAATATATAACATTAGGACTATTTGAAAGCAAAGGAATGTTATAAGATATACATGATGAGAATAAAGATTACATAAAACTAGCCTTCTAAGTAAGTAACAGACATGGCACTGGCAAATGTCAACATAAATAATGATTATCATGTGTAAATTAATATCTAAATGATATTATAGAGTAGCTATGCCATGAACCTTGTACTTTGGCTGAATATTATGTAACCTCTCCTGCAAGCTTTGCCCAATTTGTTTGCACTGCTCTAAGTTTTAATGTTTAATATGAGTAAACCAACTTTAAATGATGTCATGTGCATAGTTGCAGCCATAATAGCTGTCTAGTTCAAAGAAAAAAAAAAAAAGTCCTCTCTCTTGAAGACAAACACTTTACAACTTCAAAATTTAGCTAAAAATACATGAGATGAACATTTAATCTTCTGTCAAAGTGCTATAACATTACAAATGTAGCCATAGTAGTTGTATTGGAATGAACCTACTGACTGAAGCAACAATCTGTCACTTCTGTAATTCATCTCTGATGGTGGCCAGTCATAGGCAATGTATATAGAAATTAAAACTAGAGTAGAGGCATGATTCTTTAATACTTCAGGTTTTTTAACAATCAATAATTTATGTTTTATTACATTATTTTTTCCCCATCATATACACTAGCCTTTGATGGTTTTTCTTTCATCACTTGTTTACTCATTTCTTAACCCATTTTGACTGCTGAAAAACACCAGAGCAAGGTTATATAACTTAATTATTGCTTTTTTTTTTTTTTTTTTTTTTTAAATCTGTGTCTGTCTAAGTGTGTGCCATCTAATTCAGGCATTTTGATTGGAAAAAGTAAAAGTAAAGTAGATAGAATTTTCACTTCATTCAGAGCTTTCATATACTTATAGCTCTCTAGCATATACTTTCTGAGCCTTCCCTGTTTCAAGATGAATAATATATAACTACCTATAGCTTCTTATATAGAAACTACTCTGTGGTAAACCTCATCACCCTTTTCTCTATATACCTTCTTTATTTTTTTGGTGTTTTTGTTTTGTTTTGTTTTGTTTTGTTTTGGAGGTGGGATTTCAAGTCTGTATTACAGAATTTATCAATTTTCTTTGCATGGTGTTGCAGAACAACCAAGGTATCTGTAGGAAGATGAAATTCCACCAATGATCTTCATTTCTTCCAGTAGTAAAGCTGATTTAAAGGATAACTACATACTTAATGTGTTGGCAATTTCACATTGAAATATTGATCAAATATCACCTGATCTGTGTGATTTATTAGTATTCAATTTATCTGTTTTTGGAAATGATCTATTAGTGTCTCTAAATGAAATGATTCTATGGACTTCTGTCCTATAAAGAAAGGCTAAGCTTTCCTTAGGCTTTTCTGCTATGAACTTTAAAAATGTTTAAATTTGCTGTGATGGTTTTTTCTTCCTGCAGCATCCCTTTTTATACCTACAGAATCTTTCAAGGGATTGCAAGGCCATACAGCTCTTTGGTAGATGCCATGCTTACAATAAGTCTGTAAAATCAGTTACAGTTTTGGGGGTCTTTACTAGTCCTCATATCCTTATCTTGCTTTGGTAATGGTTTCATATTTATGTTATAAAAGGTAATACATTTCATGGTCATGATATAATACTGACTTCTATGTCCTTAATGTGTTTTTGCTGTGAGAGCTTCCTGTTTCATTTAATTGTGATACATCCTATGAATAAGATGGCCCTTTTTTCAGAGGGGGACTTCTAGATGTACTTTTGCTATGATGTTATTTTGATTATGATTGGCTAGTGTGGTGTCTTTAGATTATTTAGATTATTTGTGTGCTCTATTTCAACCTTTCTGCTGCTCTTTGTATCCCTCCTCCTCCCCCCCCCCCCCCCCCCTTTTTGTGTTTGTATATCCCACTTTGGGATATAAATGTTTTGTCTTTGTGTTTTTATATCCCATGGCTAATTGAAGGTAAGCAATAATATTAATGTTGATTGTCTTTTCTTCTCTAAGGATATAGGTCAGTTACAAAGCCAGTATTTGATTGTGGTATTCTGAACCAAGTCCTGTCCTTGTTCAGAACTAAATTAGTTTTGTGTGTGTGTTGTGTGTTTTTTTTTTTTTTGTTTTTTTTTTTTCCTGTTGTTGTGAGTTCTGCAATGAGTTGCTTCAAAAAGCAGTCATATATGGTATCAAAAACTTATACTTTACATTATATACCATATGAGATTTACCCACTGTGGACTATCTTCTCATTTGTGGCTTAATGGACTACTCTTGGAACAAGATATCCATGAATCATAATTGAACTTTTCTTCTGACCTGAAAATAGATCAAACAAACTTCTGATCTTATTTATGCATATACAATGAATTGTATTTACTATTAAAATGGATCTCAGAGTTACTTTGAGAAACTTAATTTCAAAAGGGCCATGGAAAATTTAGTCCACAGATAAGGAATGGAAAGAAAGCAGTATTTAATCTGGGAAGTAAGCAAGGTCTTCCATAAATTGCAGAAGCTGATATCAAGAGATGTTTAAAGATCAAAGCTAATTTCTCCAGAGAGTGAATACAGCCCATAGAGAAACTGTGGAGTCCCAGAAGAGAAGAAATAAAGTTGCCAACAGAAGAGAAGAAAATATTGTTAAACTTAGTGATTACTGAGTTACATAGGACTCAATAACTCAAAAGGCTCCCCACTCTGATCCCCCAAACTGCATGAAAGTTGTTTTTACATGGAGAACAGAGAGCTGGATATCGTGCTTTAATTTAGACTTCTGTCTTTTGGTTCAGGTGGATTTTGTAATCTTACGTGACAACTAAATCAAGGTTTCAAGAGAAATGGAAGAACTATTTCCCAAGTTAATAAGGTGTGTCTCCATTTTGCTGAGTCTGTACGCTCGCTACATACTAGGTTTGTACTTACCGTTTTGAAATGTTTTCCCTCTTTGAAATGGCAAATGTACCCATGGCACTTCATATGAGTGTAAATGCTAAACTGAAGTACTAGCTATGAATTGCCTATCTGTGTCATTTGTAAATTACTTCTAATAATTCATACAAGGAAACAAACTGTGTTACGTTGAAGGTCTTTGCTCTCTGTCTCAGCAAGTTCAGCTCTGCAGAAATTAGTTAAGTTGTCTAGTTGTATTCCTTCACTCAGAGCAAATCTCTTTATACCTCCAGTGGAGAAAGGTCTTCAGCATCTAATTCTTGCAGTCCAGATCTCCAAGACTCTGTAAGAATACTCTGTAAGTTCCTGTAGCAGTTCAGTGTAGCTTCCCTTTCTGGCCCATATTCCTAGAATGAGCAGCTGAAGTTTGGGAAATAGTGTGGCATAAATGAACAAGGAAGAGATGGAAATTATATCATGTCATTCTGTTTTACGGTGCAGCATTAAGTGCATGTTTGGTATGAAAACATGATGGCATTTCTGTGAGAACTCCGCAGAAATGAAGTAAGTATTTTTCGGGTTTTCTTTTGTGTTAACATACTTCTACCTCAGCAACCTCTTGGTGCCCCACTGAAGGCAATGTTACTGCATAACATGTGCGTACCATAATACCCCCAAAGAATACAAGCAGGCTGGGTCCACCTAGTGAAGTTGTCTCTTTTAAAGCTGGTATCAGATCTTACAGTTCCTTTATGTACCCGTCAGCCTTAGTCATTAATGACTACTCAAGTGTTTACAGTGAATTATAAAGAATTTACAGGATTATTGTGAGAGAGAAAAAAACAAACACACACACACACAAACAGGTTCCGTCCCCAGAAATGCTGACAATCTCTTAATATATAATATAGAAAGACCAGTATCAGTGCTTTATGATCCGTATCAAAGAAAGATTTTGATGTCGCTGATATTTTAGTACAGCTGCATAACAAGAAACAGTCAAAAGAATAAAACTGCATGGCTGAGATTCAAATATGCTCATAAAGCACAGTGTTTGGATGCTCGGTGAGCTTTGTAGCCCCAATAACTCTCACTTGTGTCACATCAGAAGCCTCAGGCACTCTTGTCCTAACATGGCATCTTGTTAGCAAGCAAAAGACTCCAGCAGCAACAAAAGCTTAGGGCATCTCTGCCTAACTGCCCGTGAACTCCAGTTTCCCCAGAATTCTGCCTAACAGGAGACTTGGTTACTAATTTAATTTGTAGAAGAACAAAACTCTGGCAAATTAAAAGCAGCAAACACTCAAGTGATTTGATGCAAAGCAGAATAAATGAATAACTGCTTTAAATGAATCATATTCCATTAATTTCACATAACAGCAAAAGTTGGATTTTTATTTTTTTTTTCTATTTTGAGTGAAGTTGCATTTGCAAATATCCATTATTGGAGCCATTGATAGCAGAGACAGTTTATAGACAAGACTTGATTACATAATCATTTTGATTCAAAAGTTGCCATTTAAGCAGTGTCATAGATGTCAGGGGACAATCAAGTCATCATTGCCTTATTCAAAAATTGCTTCAGAATTCACAAGAGAAATTAATTTAGAAAACAGTAGTAAGATTTTCATGCTAGCATTGTTGCCACGCAATTATGAAGAATGAGAAATACTTCTCACAGGTATGCCTTGTAATCTAGTGAAATAATTGCTCAAACATATAAGATGGGCACACTCAAAAAGTATATTTTGCCATTTTGTTACCATTGCCCATTTACAAGGTGTTGTAACAAGTCCTACCTTCAGTAAAAGAAATTAAACAGGTGAAAAACTGAAAAGAGTTGTCTGTTCTAAATTTCAGACATACAGAAGAATTTGAAACTCCAAAATGTCTTGACCTATTTTGCAGGATCAGAGCTAAAGCAACATTTCTCAACAATTCTCAAAATAGCTACGTTCCCTACAAATATAAAAATATAGAAGAAATGAGGACTTCCTACTAGCTGATAGAATGCTAGATATCTAATGCTAGATAGAATGAAACTGTTCTCTTAGCATTGGCATACTGTACTCTTATTAATTCTTCATACATTTGTTCTCCACCATTCTACAGTTTTTCTCCATGATCTCTGTCACCCTTCTATAAACTAAATAAAACTGATTTGTCAGTTTTTCACATAGATATCTCTACTTTTGGTGCTCAGCATCATTCATTCTTTCTTTCCCTCTCCCCTCCTAAAAGTCTTTCTTTATGTTAAAGCTGTGCTAAAGTTTATTCCTCTCCTGACTTTGCACACAGTTTCTGTATTAATCTTTACTCACCTCAACAGTGCCACTATAATCTACTGCTTAATTCACATTAATAATCCCAATGACTTCATCTAGTACCTTTTGCAGGACTGAATGCCAAATATGCATCTTTAATCACATGCCTGATGAGTCCATTTGGCATTCAGTGCTGCAAAAGGAATGGGATGAAGTCATTGGGATTATTAATGTAAGTTAAATATGTAAGTATTTTCTGGACCAAAAGTTAGTTACACTGTTCCTCATAGTCAATGAAGATAAATAAAGTTAATTGTGAGTATTATATAATTTCTAAAAGCCACGTAAGCAAAAAACAAGTTTTCTCATTGGAAGCTGTATTTGTGTTCTGTAGTGTTTTTTGGTGTGTGTGTGTTTTGTTTTTTTTTTCTAAAATACAAAAGCAACTACAGAGTTGCATGCTATTAATAACACTTTAGAAGTGTAACTTGCTGATACTTGCATGAAAAATATTGAGACATATAGTGACATTTTCTTGTCATTGAGGATGTTTAACTGGTAGAAACACTGATGTACTTTCTATGTACTTTAATTACGAAAATATGCACCTACTACCTAGAAATAAGTAGTGGGTTTTCTGCAGAATGACTTGAGCACTGGAGTCTCACAGGACTCTGTATTAACACATGTTATTTAATTTGCTCTTAAATAACCTGGAAAGAGAGGTGAATATGTAAGAGGAAAAGGGTTGCTAATAAACCAAAATTATGAGAGTACTGTAAAGAAAAGGACCAACTGTGAGTAATTATAAAAGGACAAAAAAATCCACACTGACTGCATGATAACATGGCTGATGAAATTAATGTTATGTAATGTAAAGTAATAGGAAGAAAATATTTGAACTTTATGTATGCAATGATGAGTTCTGAGCTGACTATTATTACTCAGGAATGAGATTACAGGAATGCTACAGATAAAGCTATCCACATTACAGTAATTGCGTTCTAAGAAAGCAGCATTTAAATTAGAAAGAGCAGAGAAACAAACAGGAAAAGTCATTCTGATGCTCTCTGAAACTATGGGATCCCATTGTTTTGAAAAATTAAATGTCCCTCAAAAGAGAGACGATATCATTTCCAATTCACTCACAGGTCTGTGGGGCACAGAGTAGCCACAGAATGACCCTCCAGTCCCATGAGTCCTACTGCTTGTGTATCATTTTCTGCCTCAGTTCTTCTCCAGCTCCTTAAAGGTCATTTAGTTCATTGGTGAAGATTTTCTAAGGTCCCTACGATAGGCAATCACAGTATGATAAAGAGTCCTTATGAATGATGTAGGTATAACAGTGTTTAGTAAGTGATACATTGCAACCTCTCAGCCATCTTTTTCTGCTTTTATTTTCTGTGCTTTTAAGTGCTACCCCAGATGACAGTGGAACTAGTCTGACACTTGCTCAGCAGCAGTTAACAACAGGCTTAAAAAAGCTTTTATAGCACTGTTTATATCTAGCTGCAACAACATTCAGATTTTTCATGTAAATTGGAACTCTTCTTTTTTTTTTCTTCCCTTTCTTCTTGAACTCATATTCAAATAGTTAAGCTGAATATTTTTTTCATTCTTGATGTAGAAATATTTTTGAGGTCTGGAAAGGTCAAACAGCTCACAGTGTGTACTATTTTTACAGGTTAATTGGCACTAAAAGAAATGATCATCAAGCTTGGAATGTCATAACAGGGATGTCCTCAGACTGTGAAGAACCTGTCCAAGGGAAGGAGCTAGGTAAGTGACAAAGGAGAAATATATTTCCTATCCTCAGCCATTTGTGCCTTTCCTAAGCAAAAAAGAGAGACAAGAAAGTAGTTCTCATAATTCAGAAGTTCTGTGCAGTATGAACCACTAGAGCATTAAAAACCACAGTGAAGATCCTTAGGGTAAAAGGAGATAATCGAAGGAACTAATTTACTCAGGCCAACTAAGGTATCACTTGGTAACCAACAGTTTCTTCCTTCACTTGTGAAATGCACTGTTTCAATTCACCATGCTTTAGTTTTAAAAATCTGGTGTTTGATCATTTCTGCTGCTAGGCTGAAGCTGATGGGAAAATTATGTTTTTATTTGTGAGCTAAAATGAATTAGTTTGATCGTAAAGTGTGGTGTGCTCTGGAGATGTAGGAGATGGGCATGGATCATTTAATGCCGTTGCCTGAGCTCTAGTGCCAGTAAGATGGTAGTCTTACTGGCCCTAGGGCTGAGTAGCCATGGGATCAGGAGCAATGGGATTTTCAGATATGGCTAATCCTATTTACTCTTGTTAAAATACAAGAACAAAGCAGTAATATTTGATGGATTCTAATCCTCAATATATTTGTCTTGATAATCATTATCCACCAGAGGGAGCTGCCCTAGAAATATTAAAAATGGTTTTCTACTGGGAGTTTTGTCTTCAGGATTGAATTCTTCCTCACTTGAGCCTACGAGAATAGGACTGGAAAGCCTGTGTTTTGGAAGCATGCTCACTGAACTGACATAAAATATAAATATTAATGCATGCAGTATGCCTTTTTTATAACCATATGTCATGCTTTTATCCTTTTTACAAACAACTTTCAATCCTGGGGTTCATGAGAAAAACCAATGTGCACTGCTCTGTGCCAGTCTGAGGGCATGATTATTAAGAAATGATATTAATGGAAATGGCCTCTGTCAGTAAAATGGACTAAGCTCACTTCGGAAACCTATCTGGTCTTTACCAGTTCTATATTTCAGATGATCCCTTAGGTACAAAAGTGCACTGGCACATTAAGTTATAGAATTAAGGGAATGTGAATTCCACCTCTAAAGCATCCCTATAATGTAAAGTAAATACAGAAGTTCAAACTTGTTCAAAATTAGTTGAACAAGTGACTTCTGAACCCTAAGTATTTTCTTTTCTAAAAACTAGTTCAGATTGTGTAAAAGCAGTTGGATCTTTCAGTATTAGACTAATATGATCTGTTATTTTACTTGTGTGGTATCTGTTTAAAAAACAACAACAACAACAAAAACACATTAAAATTAGTTATAGTTAAATATTTTTCATAAGAATAATCCTATCAATCCTGAAAATTAGATATACGTATCATACATTATAGCTGTTCACATCTTCACCAAATATTCCCAAATCAACACTTTTAACAGCAAATTAATAGCAATGTAGGTCAATTCTTCAGTTTCTAAATTCCAGCTGTTTGTCTCAGTCATCATTTGGACTTTTTTTTCTAAATAGTTTAGCTACTTTTCCCATTGAAAGCAAAAAGTATGTAAGGTAATATAACTTTTTACTTCCTACTTTCAGTGAACTACATATATAGCAAACTGGAGTGAAAATGAAAATCTATTTTAATTTAAAATTATACACCAAAAAGAAAGTAACTGGATGCATTGTACTCTATCTAGTTTATTTGTTTCAAACAACATTCTCACAAAAAATATAATTACTTATCTCTATAGCATTCTGAGAAGGGAGAGAAGCAAAAACACTTGGAGAGTACCTTAATAGCCAAGGACTACTTTTTTTTTTCTCCCTCCCTTCTTTCCTTCCTCCCTTCTTTCCTTCCTTCCTTCCTTCCTTCCTTCCTTTCTTTCTTTCTTTTTTTTTTTTTTTTTCTGAAATTCTGAAGCTGTAGCACCTTTATTTTCAAAGGCTGTAGAAACTGGTAATACACCAGTGTTTGGATGCTTTGTTATCTACAGAAAATCAATATATTTTTGCAAGCAACTGCTCAGTCTGATCAATTGTTCTTCAATATTCTGCTCCTAAGTCTGTGGATGTGTTTTTAATCTCCTGATCTCAAGTTCAAGACAGATTTCTGAATCAACTGGCAAGCTGCATCTTTTTGAAAAGCTACAGGGGGCTGAAGCAAGATGCATGTACAGGTTCCAATGAGCTTAAATCTCAGTGATCAGCAGCATGCCTGGGGCTGTGGTGAAAAATTAAGGTGGATTTGCTGCCTTAGAAGCCAATAAAGGCAAGTTTGCTACATGCTACAGCTACTGGCAAGGGAGAGCATCTCTTCAGCACCTGCTGTATTTCAGGCTCCATTGAGCTGCTTCTGGGCAACTCATCTGATAGCCCTGAAGGAGAGTTTAAATTTGAGTGAATTCCAAAGAAAAATCAAACAAATGTTTCATGCCTTGAAGCACTAGAGAGAAAGAAATGTTATACGTTGCATAAAGCATTAGCTAATACACATTTGTAGATGTTTTACATAATTTTATAGGTTAGTCTTTTGTTTAACTTTGAAAAGGGATGCCAGTAAGCCTGAGTAGAGCCTTTGGAGTAGATAGAGGCACTTTAGGTAGAGTGTGATGGAGTTTGTCCTATGAGTACCCTTCCTAGGAGTCCCTTTTTGGGTCTGGATGCCATTGTTAACATAGACATTTATGAGTGATTAAAGAGTGTTACTATTATTTGTAGTACTGTTATAATCTCCACTTTAACTCTCTTTTGTACCTTGATTCATTGTGTATAAATTCTTTGTACGGCTTCCATATTTGGAAAGACCATCAAAACTTGTGCTTTGAAGTTCAAAATATATTAAAGTACTTTAGCACAGGTGAGCTATTAGATCTGCCATCATTACGCCCTTCTTAAATTGGGACTGGTTGTCCCAGCGTCACACCAGATAATCGGTGAAGTATTTCATTGCTGCCTTAGGCTTTGTACAAAAATTATCCTTTAATTTAATTTCAGTACTATCAGCTCATAAAATGGTAATTTTACAGACAGCAATTTCATGTTTTAGACATGAATTGTGATGTTTTTATATTACTTGGTTTCCTGTCTTTTTCTACATTCAAAAGCATAGAGAAAACTTCATAAAAATAAATAGATTTTTTTTTTTCATTCTGCCTGAACTAACTGTAAGGGCTGCTGAGGCACCTAGTGCAGAAAGATATGTAAGGAAAAGGAAACTTCATTTTCCAATTAATTTATTTTCAATAGAGATACCTTTTCTTTGAGTGTGGTTAGAGCTGAATTTAGAAGTAAAGAAGTATTGCAAGAATCTAAAAACCTCTGGAAAGAAGCTTTCCAGTAACTATGGAGGAAATGAAGAGACACTGAAAGCACTGAAATATTAAAAGATGTGAAGTTATTTTCTTTTCTTAGCACAGAGAAAAGCTGTAGGTGCTTCAGAGAGGTATAAAGGCTTGAATGGAAAGGAACATCTTCAGACGGAGGTTGTCCAGTCAATATATTCTCCAAGGGAAATTACAAAGTGATTAACAACATGAAGCAGACCCAGGGCATGCAGCCAGGGATTTATCTCCTCTAGTAAGCAAAACATGAGAAGCAGCTACTGCAATGGTATTATTCAAAGTTTCACGGAATGCATGTGCTATTGGAGCATTTAGTCTGACCTCTATAGTTACAGATCCTTATGTTTTCCCAAGATACCACGTACGGAATCCAAAAATATTCCTGGATAAAGCATGTCTTCCAGAAAAGAATCAGGTGAGTCCCCTCATCCTATTAGTAACATATTGCAGCAGTTAATCGCATCCATTGTTGACAATTCATGCATTTTCTCATTTGAGTTTGTGTGATTTTAGACTTTCTGTGTCTCTTTCTTAATCCTTCCTTTTTGAAGTGTCATGCATGGTGTTTTCTCCCTGTCTCTCTTAGACATTACTTGAATTACTGCTACAGCTGGTGGTGGCAGAAGAAAAAAAAAAAAAAAAGTAGCTTGTAAGGTTGTAAGGTCTGTCACCATAAGGAGTTACTATGCCCTGTCTGTCAGAAAATGTACCTAATTACTACCAACATGTCTGATCCTGTAATACTTAAAGCTTCCAACTTTCTATAAGCCTATTCCAACTTGCATTTTCAACAATGCCTTTAACATCATCATATAAATGTATGATAAAAATATATAGCCCATATAAAGATATGGGATATATCCCATAGTTTTTATGTTAATATTGACGTATTTTCTATTTCCCTCTTGCAGTTTTGTTATTACTGTTAGGTACTGTACTCACATTGCCCAGGATGTACTTTCAGATGTAATCCTTATGTTGATAAGGAACCGTTATCTGATGATTCTTGCTCTGTCACAGCTACCTTATTTTTAAAGAATTTTCAAATATCTTTTGAAATCTTTCTCTTTAAACATTGTTTTCTAACCTGTTTTAGTTAGATTTTCAGTAAAATCACTCTTTTGGAAAATTATGTGTTATTGTAATTCTTAATAGTTGGGACTGTGCTCTTTTACTTTATGTAAAAATGGACAGGCTGCATTTTTGCTGTTGCTCTGTAAGCTCCAAAACAATATTCAGTTCCATTATTGATTAATCTTTATTCAACATAATGATGTACAAATTAAATTAGAATTGCATTTAAAAGCAGTGCATTTGAGCCCAAAAGTTATCTACTGCATTTAGCATTGCTATTATTCTACAATTTGGTATCTTGTATATGCTAATCAAATTGTATTTCCCAAAATACAGGTTTTCTTTATGCAAGCTAGATACTTAAGAATTACCTTGTCCTGGTAATTTTTTTAAAGTATATGTTTGAGCTTTCTTAATTACCAGAGTTTTCTAAATATGTTTTTATTTAATAATTACTGTGATTTGCATACATTAAGGTTCTGGTTACCAGTACTTGATTTAGTTACAGAAGTTTATAGCAAAGACTGACTCCCTCCCGTCTTGACCTTTATCTCCCTGGTGACTTTTTATCATTGCAATAATCTGACTTGTTCTGCTGGGTTTCAGGCAATGCTTTTGCTCTTCATGAGTCATAACAATTCTTTCCTTAGCAAAATAACTGGCAGTGGTTATATAAGTGGTACAGTAGAACTCCTCTCTATTCCTTGTCAGCTCCGCTGAACCTGTTTGCAATCTGCTGAGTAGGAGTTTGCATGACAGTTGTCATCTCAGCACCCTTGTCTCCCTGTTGCTAATGCAACAGCCTCCTTGATGTCCAGCTAGTCTCTGAGATCATTAGCTCATTATCATCATCACTGGAGAAGCAGCCTGTTCTCCTTGTCAAGCCTCCTCCCTTATGGAAATGTTGTGCGCTGTTTTGCAAAAACAAATCTTTCACTTTGCACCAGCCAGGCAAATAGCAGTATGGCTGCAGCACTCTCAGTAACAAATTATGCTGCAAGAATAGCTCTATAACTTCGTTAGTACCCGGAAATCTTCTGTTACTGAAGTTGGTCTCTGACAGCTATGTCTGTCATTAGAGGCAGCTTGTAATTGTATAATTCCATGCAATTTACAGATGCGTTTTTACTTCTACTCCAGGCAGGTAATGCCCCCACTTTAGCTGTAGTATGCTTCCAGCTCTTTTTCTCCTGTCTGTGATTTACTGTGTAAGCAGATACATCTCTTAACTGAAGAGCCTACAAATTAGAAAGGTATATTTTAGTTTAAACAGTACTTCTCAGGATTGATTCTTACTTCAGAGTTTACTTAACCTCTAACACTAAGATGAGTGGAAATTCACTACTAACTCTCAATATATATTTCAATAGCTAGTTTTCCCTCATGGTTAAATGAATGATTCAAATGAGTGGAGGTGAATTGACTATTAGAGGCCAACAGCTATGTATGAAAATTTACTCTGTTAATATTCTCTATCTAACTCCAAACAAAACCCTACAAAAATGAGTACAGGATGAGCATGGCAGCTGGAGATAGAACCTAAAACGTGATAGACCCCTTAATTACTAATCTACTGAATGGCTCTCATACCTACAAATGAAAGTCTAACACGTTTTTGTAGCTCATTTGCCTTTATAAGCATTTTTAAGGGTACAGCCTTGAAAAATGTATTTCCAGAAATTTGCAGAAGCTACATCCTATTACTGATCCTATATGAAGAAGAAATGTTGTTCCTGGTGTGTTAGTTACCAGAAAAGACACCTTACAGCCTGGCAAGATGATGGTATTTCTGTACATCAGCCAGGCAAAACTCAGGCAATACACAAAGAGACTTCTCAAGTAGTAACCGGGCTCCCCACATCGAAGAGTGTTGCTCTTTGCTTGCTTTAGGACAAAAAACAACCCACCTTAATTAGACGTAAGTTCTTCTGATAGCAGGATTTATAGAAGGTTTCAAACCGAAAGTTTAGAAACCATTAAAATTGTACAGCCACACGTGACAACAAGAAGCCCTCGCACTCAAATATATATCTATTAATTGGTTTAGGAGACTGTTATTCCATGCCTGTTATCAAATAAGCTGGGCAGTCCATGACACTCAGTGGTTCATACAGAGAGGTAACGTGGCCTCTGAATTCTTGTTTCCACAAACTCACAAGCAAAGTAGTAAACTGGTAGCTTTCACATTTGGGTAGCCCTTGCATGCCAAGAAGAGATGCATTAGGAAGCACCCCTTCTTCTGAGAATTAATCTAGCCTGACAGAACATAGGCAGCAGCACTGACCTTCACTCACAACTTCAGTTTGATGCTTCTTTTTTGTTTTCTAAATGAAACAGCAGTACACAGCTGGCACAAGATATCCTAGAACTTTTCTTATTCTACATCATTATTTTTTTCATGTTACTGTCATGTATATGTAAGCATTAACATTTATATTCCTTAAACAAAACAGAATTTTGAAGAGGATAATAGCTTTCAGTTTTGGAAATGAATGTAAGGCTTCGCTGAAGACTGATATATAGTGTTTTGAATTATAAAATGTGCTTTTGAACAGGGAAGAGAACAGTTTGCTTTATGAAGCTAACTCTATAGTGATCCTTTAACAAAGTTTTGTTTTATAGAATCATTTAGGTTCATCTAAGATGCTTTATACTGAATGTTATTTTTTAATGCCATATAAAAGTATTTATCTAAAATCAAAGATGCTGATTTTTCCCAGAACACTTGATTGGAGCCTGAAATCTTTGTGGTATGGCTTTGTTTTTATGTTTTCCATTCTGAAATGAGAGTTTTCCCCTTGCTGTAATATACCTATGATATACTCAACATTCAACAGTAATGAAACTTAATGACTGGTACTCTACATAAACAACAAGCTGTTTCAGATAATGAAACCGACTTTTTGAAACACTTCTTCAATTGCAGATAGGTCTAAGAAATCACTGCTTTGAAGGGTATGCTGGAAGAAAGTATTCCTTTAGGAAGCTGTATGCTTTCACACTTACATATGTTTCTGATTCTTTTAGCAATAAGTGTAAAGCTTGTGCTTTTGGCTCCACCGTGGAGCTAGCAATTGTAACTGCAACTGCACTGTTGACATCATGCGACTTGAATCCTATTTAAAACTTAAATGTCTTCATATTACTATCTCTAGCCTGCTGATTTGTTCCATAACTTCAGAGAGTCACGAGACATTTTCAAAGCATATGGTGTTCTATCATGAAATAGTTAGGAAGAGCAGACAGATTGCTAAACTATCAAAAGAAATAATTATATGTTACTTCATTTTGTAAATTTTATTTAGAAATACAAATAGGATGAAAACTTTTCTTTTAAATTCTCAGGTACGCATCCATTTTCTTACTTTGCTATCCATCAAGCAAATTCTTTCTGAACTTTCTGAAGTTCTTTAACATCCTCATCAATTTTCTATGCTTATGAACTTCTGGTACTCATATAAATGTGCTTTCTACCTAAACCATCTTAGGTATGTATCTCAAAATTGGTCTGCTTTTGTGAAGCTTTTGGATGTTGTTGTCACCCTGAAAACTTGTATAGTATATGTTTCATGTTTCATATTCTGCCATGTCTACATTAGCTTTGGCTTTTAAATTCTACTGCTGTCTTCCACAAAGGGAATAATTTTTTTTTTTACATGCCCTTAAGGAAAAAAAAATTCAAAAAAAATAAGCTCAGTGCAGTTTGAAATATAACAAGATGATCACACATACTGGAATGTCACATAATATTCATCTCCTAGTATTCCATCAAATAAGGATGTAGCACAGTTCGTGTTAGATTCATTATGTTTTAGACACAAGTACTTGGAATGATGGTTATTACTTTTAGGACATGCTTTGTGTGCATTAGGAAGAGTCATCAATCCTTCTGTCTGATGCAGATTTCTGTGTGTGGACTAATTTGGAAGGGTGACTAACCAAGCCTGTCCAGGGTCATCATAATTTGTAATAGATTTTTCTGTTCCAAAATATTGGCAACTCATTCCTGAGTCACTTTATGTATTTTCAGTTTTCAGAGTTTTAAGTATCCTGTGACCATACAATATTAATAAATAAAATAAATGTGTGTGATGTTGATTTCTTACTTCAGGCACCCTCTTAATACAGGAGGATCTCTGATGCATGATTTTCAGAAACTTATTGGCATGTAAAATTCTGTTGAACTTTTTTGGAAGTTTGGCCATGAAGAACGGCATTCTAGCCAGGAAAAAAAAAAAAGGCATTCAAGACCTTTATTAACCCAGGAGCTTTCTAGGGTGGATTTTCCCCAATCATATGTAGAATTTTCATATGTTTGAATTTATTGTGATATGTGCTGAGGAACTTTTACATTTTTCAGCCTATCATCAGTGCTCTTATACAGCCACACTAGCCAAAACGCTCAGGCATGCTGCAGATCATCTTCTGGGGTTACAAAGCTTTCTCCCTACAAAAAATACACAAACAAACAAAATCTTAAGACTAATTTTGTCTTCCTATTTTGGACCTTTGCTCTGAATCATCTGAAGAAGAATTAGCAGGTTTGTGTGACTTAATGCATAGAAGCAGCTGGATTGCTTCCCTTAAAAGGCGCTCTGACCCAATTCCAGCTTGGTTTCAATAAGGTTTCATTTGGGCAGAAACAATATTTCTGTTCCTGTACTCTGCCTGCTTCATCTTCTGTTCGTTTCCTTTAGCAGCTGTCTTGTCAAAGAGACTAAGCCATCAGCAGTTTGAATTGTAAGCATTTTCAAAAGGATCCAGTTTTGAAATACTAATTTTTAAAAGAACAAGACAATTGGAAAACTAGGTAAGACAATGCACCTGGCACTCATGGAGGTACATAATTTAGAGAGTTTTAGACTTCTTCAAAATACGAAGTAAAAAGGGATGAGAAGTGTTAGTCAAATAGATAAATCAAGTCAACTGAGCTCCTCGAGCAGGAAGGGATCCCTGGATCTTTCAAGTGAGATCTGTGCTACTGCACATAATCACAATGCATTTTCCTAATTGTAAAGTTGGTAAGATATTTTTAAAACAAATTAAGTATCTTTCCTCTAATGCTTAATGGAATTTTAGTCTAAGAGGTGAAATTTTGTTCCTAAACTTCAAGATTTTTTTCCTGAACATTTTATGAATGATCTTCTCCCAAACAGCACTTAAGTGTCACTTTCATAACTGTAGTCCTCAAGGTCATCTAGCTCTTCCTATATAAAATTCTAATCTCTATTGATGATGACTCTTAAAATGTCATTAGCATGCACCTACTTTTGTACTAAGATCACTGGCAAAATATTCAACAGATTTTTCACAAAGACCAGTGCTTGACCAGCCTCTACAAGAGCAGAATTTTAATCAGTGAAGATAGAATATATAAAAAATGGGCAATATATCTAAATTATAATCTGAAATAGTGCATATCCCCCAAAGACATAAGGTATATTTCTCAGTCAACGTGACTGAGTACAGTCAGAAGTTCAATAATGTAGCTGAAGGAAAAACAGAATACCAAATAACTCATACTAATAACGAAAAGTGCTTCTAAATAGAGTTCTCTGTGTATATGTCATCTCTTTTCTTTCATAATAACATTTAATATGGGATATGGGTTAATTTTTTCTCTGTACAGAACCTCTGTACAGCAGAAATTTTTCATGCTGAAATTAAAATTAACTTGTGCTAGGAATAATATTTTGAGTGATGTGAGGCTGACTGAAGACTGATGGTGTGCTTAGTTATTAATTGCCAAACCTAGAAAAGTTTGGTTGTTATCCTTATCCTTTTAAAGATTTTTTCCCATTTTCTTCTGCACTGAAAAAATGAACTTATTACTAAATAGATATGTGCAGTCTTTCTGAAAATTATGTGTAACACAAGTGCATCTATAACTATACCTATGCACTTACGTTTGTTAAATCTATCATGAAAACTCTTCACAGTAGTAAAAGCACTTTCTCTACAAGCTACTTGTGAGTATCTCCTCTAAAACACGCTTCTGTGTTATGATTTTAGGATAGGTTGCAGAAAAAAGGTGTTCAAACAGGTATGTTTAAACAGCTTTTTAAGTGCTAATGCAAAAACATGGTCAATAATTGCATATTAAATGTTAGTGAAACCCAACTGAACAAAGGCTATTGTAAAATAGGAAGGAATCTTTCTTGTAAAAGAACGGGGTGTCGGTTACAAAACAGATTTGTGTTCATAGTGATTACAGATCCTGAGTTACAGTGACCTCAGTCAGCAATTACATGTATACTGATGTAAGAGGGGTGGTTGACTTGCACACAATGGCAGTTCCATCTTCACTCAAAACCAGACATAAGCAGTGCTCAGAAAACTCTTTAAACACTGTGGGATTTTTTCCTGTCTTTTCATCGATAAAATTTGTGCCTCTTTGCGAGATATGAGTATGTGTCATTGTTATTCATGGAAACTGTCAGGCTTTTTAACTCCACTGAGAAACATGAAGGGTGAATGACAGATGGGGACCGTTATCTTGGCAAGGAAGTTCTCTGCTAGCAGAATGCCGTGGTATGAGACCTGAAAGAAAGAAGAGATGATAATTTCACTTGTTCTTGTATCTAAAAGGCATCTGAAGAGTTTGAGATGCCATGGTATTTAGACTCCTATCTATTTGGGCTGATACTGTCTTCAGTTTTGTTGATAGAAGCCAAGTGGTCTTGAAAAGGTTAAAACACATAAATTAGGCTTAATACCACTCTCTGCTCATACCAACTGCTCTCATTGTTTACCAAGGGCTGGAAAGAATTTAGTGCAGGAGTGATAGACTGAGATATGAGTTTTATGATTTTATAAGTAACTTCAATATCCCTACCTATTGCTGAGTTGTTCAAACAGTGGCAACTCTTTATCTTGATATGTACTTTGTATGATGTGCTTTCACATGCCCATTGTATGCTCTTTGGGTTGGTGACCTTTATCAGTTTCATGCTTGTGTCAGAATAATTAGCTCTGATATTATACATGTACATTCATGAAGTCCCTATGCCCTTCATGCAAATTCATTTAAAACACAGGAAGGAAATAGCTGAAAAAAAATGCTCAGCTAAGTATGTGTGAATGGGCACATAGGTGGGCAGGGGAGGGAGGCTGAGGGTCTTTCTGATTACCAATAGAAAAGTAATTTGGGGCTAAAACAAAGCCTTTATTTAGATAATCGCTTTGAATTTTATCTTAAAATATCTTAGTGTTTTTTTTTTTTTTTTTTTTTTTTTTTTTTTTTGTGTATGTGTGTGTGTGTTATTCTGAAGTTAGAAAGTTCCTTACAATGTTCATGGTTTTTTTTTGTTTGTTTGCTTGTTTTTTGTTCTTTTTTTAACCAGTCCATTTATTTCCATATCACTGAAACTTCTGTGTTGCTGTTTGTTTGTTTTAGCAGAATCTATAATTTCAGCAGAAAGTTTTTTCCTATTTTTTTTCTCCTTGTTCTAGTATATATAAAATTGCAGTTGCAATGGAAAAAGTGCTAGAGAATTTTGGATTTACTACTTGACAGACCAGTTCATTAGTCACTTTGTAAAAGGCTCTTAACATTAGCTGTTCTTAACTTTAGTGATTTTTTTTTTCCCAAAATCCATTTGGCTCTTAAGCTATTTTTATCTGTGAACAAGGAATGATCCTTTTGATATTGTATTAAGTGACTAAAATTAACTCCTCAAAGTGTGGAAGGTCCTCTATATCCTATTTATTAAAAATGTTTCCTCTAAATGAGAGGGGAAGAAAAAAAATCTGAGCTATATTTACTAAGAGCAAGGCATTACCATGGAACAACAGCTCTGTTTAGAGTATGTTAGTTGTTTTTTTTGTTTGTCAAGCTGTGTGAACAAATACTCTTTCATTGCCTGTAGCCTGATTCACCTCTCATTTGTACCAAAGTGCTGTAGCTAAAATGAAGCTGTTCTTATTCTCCCTTTGAGGAAAACTTCAAGCCAGATACATGTGTTCAAGAGCCCTAACTCTGAAAGGAAAGGACAGGACAGAATGCTTATTGATTCACATTAGGGATGCACAGGATGTTATTGGCTTTCCCCATGTACATTTCAGCGTTGTCTAAGGACTATCGGCTATCACGTTAAGTTAGCTCAGACCTAGCACCTGGTGCTGCTTCTAGCTATTTGGAGGCAAAACAAGATTTAGAAATATACAGTAATCTGGGTGCTTCAGAACATTAGATGAATGGGTATTTTCACACTAGAAATTGTCAGCTCTCATGAAGTTTCATAAAAGGGATAAACATACTCACGGAAATGCTCACACATATATTAAAATTGTCCCTGCCCTCTGTTTCTTGATAGCTATTATCATATCTCCTATTCAGGGTATGAGGAGAAAAAAACACTTCTGTGCCTTTACATTCAGACCTACCTTATATTAATCTACTTTTTTTTTTTTTTTTTTTTTTTTTAACATCTGATAGCCATTAATACTCTATTTTCTCACCTTTATGCTAATATAAAACTGATTGAAATGATTAGTTTGGGTTCAAAATTTTCAATGAGCTTTTAATGAAACTTTTGTTAATTTTCATTTCCTTCATAATATCTGGTGATATCTGTATTTCTTACATTTGATCCTTTAATGTATTCCGAGTTCTACTTCTGTTGAATATCCTGTGAGCCTGAATGAAATCTGAGACTGAAAAGACAACTTGTGATGT